ACATATATAATATTAGATTTTAATTTTAAAATTAGATTAAAATTTTAAAATTTACCAATTATATTTATCAATAATTTATCGTATATTTTCTAGAAAAATATAATCTATAAAACTTATATATTATCTCATTGATTATACGTATATTTTTTCTTTGATTGTTTGTTGTTATCTATCTTTCAATTCAATGTAAATTATTAATAAATATACTTATGAGTATATAGTAAAATGTTATTATTAATTAATTCAACTCAATTAATATTTTCTAACAAATTTTTAAAAAATTTTTTTTTAAACTTATATAATTATATATACATATTTTTGACATAATTGCAAATGAAACCGTACATTATATTGTCAAATTAATCAAACCAAGTGCATATTGTCCAAAATATTTTTGCTATCACAATGACAATGGAATTCTTATTTTTTATTATTTATTAAGAAAATATAAAATAAAAGATAAAAAATCATTAAATCTTAATTAATAGAATAATTAGTAGAGTTTTCTTACTAATAAGTTCAATTGTTTTCATTTTGTTTACAGGAGAACAAGAAGTTTAAACGCACCTAGTCCGATTCAACAATTTGGGCCATGCGGACGCATCATGAAGAATTCTGCGATGGTGATGTAAGTAATTTTATCTAGCACCAATGTTTCAAAAAAATCCCATGGGATTATTTCAAAGCAAAACAAGTTGTTTCTTTTTTTCATTTCAATTTATGAAATTTGTCCTTCCGTATTATAAAAATTATACTATACTACATGTTAATATCTTGACTCAATTATCTGACAATGACTTTTTTAAACGAATACATGCTTTGTTTTGTCAGTATAGATTAGAAAACGTAATAATATATTTCTAGAAAATCTATTTTCAACGAAATATATTATTGACAACAAATATGAGTATAAATTCTTGATATCTTAATTTTTTTTCATAATAATGTGTAAATTATTTTACTATTATATTGGTGATAAAATTACGTAATAAAAAAATTCACAAGTTACAAGTTCAATGATTCGATCATATCAACTTTATTTTATTGCGTTTTATGCATCTCTATAGTATAGAAGTTATTGGTAGCTGTTTCATTAATTTTTATTCAATATATATATTTTTTGATTGATTGTAAGATATAACTAATGATTATTCAACAAATACCACTTTCGTAATAATTTTCCTTAATGTACTATTTTAAATGTGAATTAATATTTTATTAAAATTATAAATATATATATAAATTATTAAATGAATCAAAAATTAAAAATATGCAATTAATTGTATTTCATTGCATATACATATATGCAAATGAAAACATTTCGATTTAACCTTTACACTCAAAATAGCGTAAATGACTAAAGTATTCATCGAGATTTCCTGTTTAATAATTAATATTTATAATAATATCTGATTAGTGTAAGTGAGAATAACGAAAAGACAATTGCATGTGATTGTGCGTGTCATTTTGAATATTGTGCATATAAAAATTTGTTACGATTCCTCATATGCATATTGCTCGCGCTTGCGCGCCGTCTGATTGTTTACCGTTAAAAAACGTAGCGTCGTGTTCGGTCCACGATCAGTTCGAGCGTGGCTCTCAAACTGGTATCACGTCATGGTTGGAATTATCAGGTATGTTTTTTATATATTATTCGATCAAAATTAATTTTATTTTCGCGTTTATCGATTCTATATCATGGATATTTATCGCTGATATAAATTTCGATTTTAACTTTAAAAGAACTTTAAAAGAATTGTTAAATCAAATAAAATTACAATCGAATTTTTAATTCGAAACGATTATTATTTTTTGCTGAGTAATACATATATTTTTTTCAGTTGTTAAGTATCCTTAAAAACAAATATCAAGATCTTGATGAAATAATATTTCGGCAGATTTATTTTGTGAAAATAATAAAATTTATTTAACAAGATATAAATGTATATTAATATAAATTTAAATTTAAATTAACGAAAATAAATAATCAAAGTAGTCATCATATAATGTATTCATACATAAAATATTCTCACCTTTGATTCCTGCGACCCTAATTCAATGATAAGCTCTACGATCGATTCTCTTTATATAGAAACGAGTTCAGGTCACTTGCCGAAGTTGGAATTTTTATTAATATTAAATAACTGAATTCATTTCATTTTGAAATAATTACAATATTTTTTTTTTTTTTATCATAATTATATGCTATGGATATCGACTTTATTAAGCAGCGATAACAGTTTAATTCATCTATTTCGTCGATCAGGTTGTTAAATACTTCGATATCCCACAATTCTCGATCTTTCGTCGATATTAAATTTGACTTCATTATTTTATGTCATTTTAAATAATAATGCTCCGTACTAAGATTCATAGAATTCGATTTATGTAATTGTCAATATTTTATCATTAAATTTTAATTTAATTTTGATTTAACAAATTTGATTTTTGCAGGACCATACAAGATCCAGCCTCCCAGAGGTTGACGTGGTACAAGCCACCGCTCACTGTTCTCGTTATCAAAAAAGTCCGGGATTCCTCGGTACTGCCACCATTTGTACAATTAGTTACATGGTTAATAGAAGTAAGTATATATATTTTTTATATATGTCGATACTCACGTATTTATTTTTTATCCATGCTAACGTAATGATGACGAAAGGAAATATTTCATACATTTTTTTTATCGTTTTAACGTAACATTTCAAATCATTATGCAAATTGTGATTAATGATTAAAATAAAAAAGAAGTATCAAAACTATGTCATAAGCACGATGGCATATATTATTTAGACGGCATTATATCTTCATTCTTCTTTCGCGCAACCATCGTAATCATAAAATATCCATGTATTCTAGTTTCCTTCATTTTATCGAGTTATTTCTATTGATTCACATTATACATGTCTAGATAATAATTTTCAATGTCTTATATTTGCAATTCTAATTCTTAATTTTAACTTATTCAGTTGTAGATATATATTAATTTCATTCTTATGCTAATTTTATGCAAGTCATATAATAATATTCATATAAAAACGTTAATTAAATCCAAATCACTCATCAAATATTATATAAGTACTTTGCTCTTTACATTTTTGCAATTCATATATATTTGCATTAATTTTTTTTATACATATAATTTTTTTATACTACATATTCATGATTATGTAATTTATTTTTTTGGATCTAGATTAATTTTTCTTATTTAAAAAATCAAAGATTATATAACTTGATTTTTGAAATTTTTCATATAGGAAAAACGGATGGTAGTATTCGTAGAGGCGTCTGTCCTGGAAGATCCAGCCTTGGCTAGGGATCTCAGATTTCAAGAGGTTCGAGATAGGCTACAGACTTTTAGAGATGGCACGGATGATTTACAGGTAATTGTTTAAAAAAAATATTCAATTTTATAGTTAATGTTATTTAATGAATGTAAATAAAAAACATATGTTTACTCAAGGATCGTATCGATTTCATTGTCTGTCTGGGAGGCGATGGAACGCTTCTCTACGCAAGTTTGCTATTCCAGCAATCGGTACCTCCAGTGATGGCATTTCATCTTGGTTCCTTAGGATTCCTCACACCCTTCGAATTCGATAATTTTCAAGAACAAGTAACAAACGTATTAGAAGGTATGTACATTGAAATTTTCTTTACTTAATTTATCTTCAATATATTTTAATAATTCATCTACTTATCATTGATGTTATAAAAGTATTATGATTTGAAGGAAAAAAGATTAAAGATACATTAATAATAATATGTATAATAATAATATATTTATTATAAAGTTAGAAGATCAATCATGAGTGTCAATATCACCTGCATATGTTATTTCAATATTATTATTATTATTATTTCAATATACAAAAAAATATATAAATATATATAAAATATATAAAAAAAACGAATAATAAAAATGGTAGACGACTTATTAAAATCTATTAATCCGACAATCGGGAAAAGACCGATAAAAACGAAATATAAATTTGATTTGTTTTCTTTATCTTTAGGTCATGCGGCTTTGACCCTGAGGAGTCGACTAAAATGTATCATTATGCGAAAAGGAGAAGAGAACAAGGAGACAAAACCGCCACGAACGGAATTATTGGTGCTGAACGAGGTCGTGGTGGATCGAGGTCCGTCCCCATATCTCTCAAACATCGACCTCTTCATCGATGGTAAACATGTGACCAGTGTACAGGGTGATGGCCTGATCGTAAGCACGCCGACCGGGTCTACGGCGTATGCTGTTGCGGCTGGGGCCAGCATGATTCATCCTTCTGTACCTGCGATCATGATTACACCGATCTGCCCTCACTCTTTGTCCTTCAGGCCGATCGTCGTGCCCGCCGGCGTCGAATTGAAGGTATTTCCGAATTTTTTCCATACGATCTTTTATAGGCGGTGCAGGTTTCAATGTGAAACAGATTGAATTTCTGAAAGAAAAAAAAAAAGAAAAGAAAAATAATGTTAAATTAATAGGATACTGTTATGAATAAAATCTCATCTCCAATTGTTCAAATAGTCAGTTCAAATAAACTTTTAAACGATGCTTCTCATGTTCGTATAATGTAGTATTTCCATGTGGATGAGATAAAAGTTTCTTGTTATAGTGGAATCTGTACTTCTGATCCGGGACGATGTCCCATAGAAGGAAACTTGGTGGATGTCGCCTGCATTCCCAGACTATGCGCTACTCCGTTGTATTCTGAACAAATTTGAACTGTTGTTCTCGAATATATGGTCTGGAGAACAC